TTTTGAACCTCGTGACAATAGCGTGATGAAATAACAACAGTAATCAGTTACATGATCACATTGTGCACCAAATACTCACAACTGAGTCCTGAGGATGACACTGATCAGCTCCACACCGAGGCCGGCAGCCAGTCCCAGATCCAGCCCCAGCAAGAGGGCACCGATGCAGCTAGCCAGCCACACCACCTTGTTGTGGTAAGAAACATGTTGTTTACTAACAAGGAGGCCATGTGTCCTTTCTTACAAAATATAAACATGGTCTTTAAGAGTACTGAAGGTTTGAGAGGTCTTACACAGTCGGCTTTGTCCCTCCTCCACAGATATGGGATCTCTCTGAACTGCATCAGACTGCCCTTCAGATTGATGATGATCACGGCGCCCAGCACGGACTGTTAAAGCAGAGGGCCAGAGATCGTCTTTCCCAGAGTATATACAGCATGTCAGAGGCACAGGGAGGTGTACATACCTTTGGTAGGGGCTCCAGTAGGAATCCAATAGCCAATGTGACGATCATCACTATGACAGCTGACAGTAAACCAGCTACCTGAAAACGACAGAAGAGGATTGAAAAACAAACGTGATGGAAATCAGATTCTGTGAGTTTGTGCTGATTTAAAAAGGACTTTATCAGATTAGTTGATTGATACATTTTCTCCTCTAAACACTCGAGGTCACTGTTGGCTGGCCTTTCTATTGGTCACTCGCTGTGAATTTAATGCATTTGTGTGACTGTATGTCAGAGCGACGAGCTGCAGCTGAAACTAGCAGTGTCACAGGAACTGCTGTCCATTCATTTGCAGTTAATCACAGAGTCTCTATGAACGTGTATAAACAGAAGAGAATGGATAGATTCTGTAAACTGATATCATGCAGTCATATTTAAATGTTTTCCTAGGATTCAACAAATGAATTGTAGTGAAAAAGCAGATTTCATTATAAAGATTTCATTGTAAAGATACTTTAAACGTTTGTGTTACGAAATCCGACTTCAGTTTCAATATTATTCATCCATCCATCCATCTTCATCCGCTTTATCCGAGGCCGGGTCGAGGGGGCAGCAGCCTAAGCAAAGAGGCCCAGACCTCCCTCTCCCCAGCCACCTCCTCCAGCTTATCCGGG